TTATGTATTTTTTTACAACTCCTTCATATGTATGAATACAAAGAAAAATAATTATATTCTTAATATAGATAAAGGTGGTGAAGTATTTTCACTATATATAAAAAGTCAGTATAAAATTAATGAAACAGAAAAATTCAAGACATGAACTTGAGCAACAATAAATTTGATCACAATTGTACAACCGACGAATCCAAACTAAATTTAATTAGCAAACATCGTAGGATATTATGTAATATCCAAATCATAGACACCATTTTTGTAATATTCATTCAAAATATATCAAAGTGAAATGTCTAAATATAAAAAATAATAATAATAATTTGAATTACAACACCCATAGAAATGAATCTGAACCCCAAATATAACACCAAACACACCATATAATTAAATAAAATATATGAATGTATAGTCACGAAGATTAACACCAAAAAATCAAACACTGTTAAATGTTATTTACTCCCAATGCACCAAAAAAATAAACTCTTTTGCTAAATGTGATTTAGTCTCAATTCAAAGAAAAAAAGTTGGACACCAAAGGTACATCTGGACCCATCATCTTAAGATATGTTAATTGCCTCTATTGATTTTTTTAATCAAATCTTACAACCAAACGAAATGCTCCAACCGTATTTTAAATGATATATAATTCTACTATTTTATCTATGTAATTAGTTTCTACGCAAGGTGCATAAATTCACCTAATTTCTAATAGAAAGTTATTAAGTGAATGAATGATACATTGGAGCACCTAATAGAAAGTTATTAAGTGAATGAATAATACATTGGGAGCCAAAATTTTGATAGGAGTGGCTCACATTGTCTTGTGCATTAACACAATAATTCTACTCTCTCTCTCTCTCTCTCTCTCTCTATATATATATATATATATATATATATATATATATATATATATATATATATATATATATAAAAGATCATTTGTAAATAGATAATTATTATGTGAATGTATAACTCAATGTGAGCCAATCGTGTGTGTGTGTGTGTGTGTGTGTGTGTATATATATATATATATATATATATATATAGGGTCATGATCTTTTGCGAACCCATATTTTCCCACAAACTTATTCATGTGAGGCTTTTTTTAAGTGACTTAAGGCATTAAATTGGTCATATAGAAGCGCATATGCAAAAACAAATTCAAAAAAAAGTGTGCACGGGGTTTAATGAAATCCTGATTTTAGGGTGTTGCACGTATATAAGATCCTTAAGTACCTAGGGCTGACCTTTTTATCAGCCTCCATTGTCCTAAAACCGTAATCTCGAACCCAAATAGCAATTTTGATTGTTTTTAGCCTTGGTCTTGATTTTTGTGGTTTGTACTCCGTGTATTGTTAGAATTAGAAGTTGGAAGACTCATTCATTGGAAGGAAGCCTACATCCAGATTTAGCTCTATCTTTTGGTGACTTTTGAGGTATAAAGTTTCTACCATATCTACTTTCTTCTTAGAACTCTTCATGTTATGGTTTTATGCTTCTTTGTCCCTTTTTGGTTGATCTTGATGGGTTAAAGCTGTTTCAGAAGCTAAATCTTGTAGATCTAGATGTTCGGATGGTCCTTTATGCTTAAAGGTGCAAAATTTATGGTGTTTATGGTCTCATACATGCATTAAGTCATTTATTAAGCTCTTTTGAGCTCTAAGAGCCCCATTAGGCCATGCATGCACGTAAAGTTTGCAACTTTACGTGATAAACCATCTTAAGGAAGTCAGATCTAAGTTAGGGTTGAGATCTTAATTGGTTAAGAACTGGAAAATGGAAGCTGGCCAAATGGGGGAATATGTTGGGCGTAAAAGCATGTACACTTAGCCTATAAGCCCCAAAGCTAGTACATCACATGTATGACACCAATGCCGACCCATGATCTGTTATCGACAATCGGGGGTTGACTTTCTGTAACTCGACCAAAGAACAGGTAGGACTAGCCTCAGCCGCTCTTCGAGGGGTTGCTTAGCCGGGATGGAAGGCAACCGGAAAGCGAGTTTTCTGTTACTAAGACAGCATCAAAGAACCGTCAGTCGTTCATTGGATAGGAAATCTGGAATGGAAAGTACAGCAGTCGCTACTATAATCTCAAACAAGAACCGAGATGAACTCGAAGACAGAACCCTCCAGTCTAGGCGGATTTCTTCCCTTTTCTAGCTATTCCCCTGATTCTCGATACCCGCTCCTTGGCACTAGTGAATTGCTATCAGAAGTTGCTATAATCAATGTATCGAATTCCTAATTCGAAGAATCGGTCGGTCTAACGACTTCTTATTAATGCTATCCGCCCAAAAGTTGGAAACTCAATAGCTAGCTTCCCTGCTTCCTTTCCTTCCCTTGAAGCAATTCCTCGAACAACAGAACAAGAAAGAGGTCTCTTCCTGGCTCTTCTTCCTAGTCCTAGATTTGAGTTACTAGCATCATTAACCGGCCGAGATACGATTCAAGGTCGGAGCAGCTAATCCACACCTTTTAAGAGCAGGAGACTCATACTAGCTCTTTGCTTTTGTCCCGCTTGGTTCAATTAATTGGATAACTCAAAAAGAAGCGGGCTTGATTGTTGTGATTCCTTTGCTGTTCAGCGTGATCTTGAGCCGATCTTCTTAATTCAATAGCAAAAGCCGTTTCGAAATGCCAGGGCAAAAGACGTATGGACTCACTAGCTATATTGCCTTCGTCGAAGTCATTTCATAAAGAAACCAAGAATTCTGCTATTTGATGAGCTGCTTACCTCCCTTGATTTCCTATTCGTGACTCGAAACAATTCGTTATTGGCAGGCTAAGCTACTGATTCTAAGAAAGCAGCAACACCTTACTATCATCGACAACAGCACGTACAGCATCAACGCCTCCACCTAACACCTCCGTAAGGCCTACCATTACCGTTACTTATCTCTCTTTCTGACTGACTGATAGAACCGTCGAGCTGGCTGATGAGCGAGACATCCCTCCTAGCGCCTGCATGGAGACATCCCTGCTAATTTAGTAAGGGTTGAAATACGAGAAAGGGGCTATCAGAAAGCTCGAAAAAGGGCATGATTTTAGGCTCTTCCTTTTTGACTTTCGCGGGGGACGCTTTTTCTTTTTTTTTTTTTGAAAAAGAAAACTCCAAGATAGCTTGGATTACCAGCTTCTATCTGAAGGAAGAACTCCTCAATATCTGGGCATCCACTTTTCTGTTTTAGTACCATACAAAAGGAAAGGGAGGACGTGAAGCTACTACGGGAGAAAGGCAAGTAGAAGAGGGCTTATGCTCGATTGTAGAAAGTAGAACTCCCAGCCAGTAAAGTGAGACTTCTTGTTATCAACTGGATTCTGTAGCTGCTACCTTCTTTTTCAGTATATGGTGGTGACTCC